GTGTCTCTGGGACGTGAACCCTGTGGATGAAGTGTGTGTAATGAACAGGGCTCCATGGGGTGTGTGGCTTGAGGCCCCTCGGTTCCCTCCAGGGGAAGAAGTCCACTCTGCCTGCCCCAGGCAGAGGGCTCCAAGCGGAAGCCACAGTGCGCTGGCCCATGGGCCGGCTTCAGCTCTGGGATGGGAGCCTTGGGCGTGGTGCCTCTCCCACCTGCACACATCTGCCATCAACAGGTGGCAGCTAGCCGAGGCCAACAGGTGCCACCTGCAGAGGTGGCGGGGAAGTGGGCGGGCCAAGCAAGTGGAGGCTGCCTGGCAGAAGGTTGAGTGCAGGAGGCCCGAGGGCAGCTGGTATGGGGTCCTCACCAGCTTGCCGGGCTCTGACCACCTTCCTGGGGGTGCAGCGCTGCATCCTGCGTGCCCCTTCGCCGAGCAGAGCCACAGGTGGGCTCCCGCTCAGCAGCGCTGGTGCCTGCCTCACCTTCCCAGCGGCTGCATCTCCGCAGCCGTCAGTTCCGCCGGCCAGGCTGTGCCAGTGGCAAACCTCCCGAGGGGAGCTTGGGCGGCCCCTCCAGTCCCCTCGCCCCTGTGGGCCTGTGGGCTCTGTGTGCCGATGCCCACCCTCTCGCCGAGTTCTAGGAGGAGAGAGAGGCCTCGCGGGCCCTCCTGAAGCATCTGTCTGGGTCACTCCAGTGCCTTCCGTCCTCTCCATCTCCGTCTGATCATCCATCTCCGTCTGATCAGAGAAGCTGGAAGCTCCGCTTGGCCAGGACAAAGAGCCGCGCCCGGGAGGGGGAGCCGGGAGCGGGAGCCGGGAGGGTAGTGCCAGCCTGGGAGGAGGACAGAGATTTTCCAGGACATTCCTTCTGGACAGCGCGTGCTGAGGCCCAGACACCACAGCGCCTGGCTTTGTTCCGGGCGTGGGGATGTGGGTGCGGCCGGCTCGAGCCGGATCTCGGGCGAGTCACGGAGGACAGAGTGTTTCCTGAGAGTTTGTCATTGAGACAGGGAGGGAAAGTTCTGGATTCCAGCTAGAAGAGGGAGGGCCAGGTGGCGGGAGTGGGTTCATGGGAGCTGCCGCCATCGTTTTCCAGGTGCTGTGGGCTTTGTAGCCCAGAAGGGCACCTGTTTTGCCCATGAGGACACCGCTGCCACCAGCTGTGTTAAACCGGGCAAGACTGGGCCCTGGAGCCCAAGCGGCAGGCCTGGGAACCCACTGGCAGAGTTCACACCTGGAGATACAGGGCCCGCAGAGGAGATGGGACGCCCCCAAATATGGCTCCCCCTGCTCGCGCCTGTAATGACGCCACCAAGTCGCTCAGAAGGCCAGCAGCAGCCACTGTGCACGTCCAGGGGGCTGACAGCCAGGGGACAGCTGGCACCCAGCACAGGGGTGCCCTGGCCCGCAGCAGAGTCAGGGCTGGGGCTGTGGGCTTCTGTCATCCAGTCTTGAGAGACAGCCCAGGATTCAGAAAAGCACAGGGGATTTGTCCGGGGAAGGGGTGGGGGGATTTTCTCCTGGGTTTTGGAGGCTGGGAGTGGGGGTGGTAGGAAGGAGGGAGGGAAAGTGGGGGAGGGGACAGAAAGAAAGATGTGACGGCTATTTTTCGGAAGAGTTCCTCTGAGCTCTCCTTCTAGCCTCTTCATGGTGTCCAAACATAGAGGTCAAGGGCAAGGTGGGGGTGGCACTGGGACCTAGGTTAAGCTGCTGTTTAGGACATCGGGCACCCCTACGAGCACTGGTTGAATCCAGCTGCTCAGCTTCTGATCCCGCTCCCTGCTGATGAGCCTGGGTGGCCGCATGGTTCGCTGGGGTTGAGCAGGTGCAAACAATGGCAGACCGAGGGTGACAGAGCGTTAGTGAGGCACCTGGCCTGAGGGGCCACCGGTGGGGCTGTGGCATCCTCTCCGCTGACCAGCATCCTGCTTGGTTCTAAGCCCGCTGGGAGAATGGGAGTAATCAGCTTAATTCCTTGGTACCTCAGTTTCCCCATGGGGATGTTGGAAATGACAACGCCCACCCCGCAGAGCTGATCAGCATCCCTGGCTCCCGTCTGCTCTGCAGCCTGGCCCCAGCCCCCAGGGTCCCCTCCTGCCTGAGGCTCAGGACCCCTCCCGGAAAGGGGGCTCACCATCCTGCCTTCAGACAGACTCTCAGAAGGAAGGGCCTTTTCCTGAGTGGTACAAGCTGGCATAGAACACATTTTGGTAGAATCCAGGAACTGACAGCGATTCGAACCCTGCGCTCTCCGTTGTAATAGCTCCAGGAGTTCAGAAACACGTCCAACTCCCTAGACCCGGGCTCCGGGGTCCCCTTTTTCCCCCCGCCGAGTCCTGCCGGACCCTAGGACCCTTACACAGAGCGCACGGCCAGGGCGATTCCGCCTTCTGCCGCAGGGTGGCGCCGCGCTCAGGCATTGTCGCTGAGCCCGGGCGAGGGGGGAGAGAGGGAGGGGCTCAGCAGCTCGGTCGGAGCGCAGGTGCGTTTTCCGGGCCCCGCGGACTCCACCTCCTCTCGGTGTCACAGCCGCGGCCCGGTGTCTGGCACGGGGAGACCGCAGCACCCCACAGTTGTCAGCGCGGATGCCGTGGCTGGCCCTGGCCTGCCTTCTGGCTCAGTGACTGTGGGCTGGGTACTAGGGGATTTCACTTCTCTGGGCCTCGGTTTGCTCATCCTTAAAACTGGAGTGATAGAGCCCATTTCCGAGGGTGCTTGGGAGCTTAGAAACTGCAACACCGTATCTTGGAACAGTGCCTGGCCGGTCGACTTGACTGTTGCAAAGTGATCCTTAGCAACAGTTAAGACACCCAACATGGGAGCACCTGGGTTTGAGTCCCCGCTCCGGCTCCGACTCTGACTTCCGGCCAAGGCGGCCCCCCTCCCCAGGCAGTGGTGATAGCCAAGCGGCTGGGTCCTTGCTATCCACTGGGAGACCTGGATTGAGCTCCTGGCGTCTGTCCCCCAGCTTCGACCTGGCACAGCCCCCTGGCAGTGGTGGGCACCTGGGAAGTGAACCAACAGATGCAAACTCTGTCTCAAGTAGTTGGTTTTTTGTTTTTGTTTTTTTTTCAAATGTTGGGCCTGCGTTGTGGCACAGCAGGTTAAGCCACTGCCTGCGGGGTCAGCATCCCACTTGGGTGCCAGTTCCAGTCCTGGCTGCTCCACTTCCAATCTGGCTCCCTGCTGATGTGCTTGGGGAAGCGGTAAACGGTGGTCCAAATTCCAGGGCCCCTGCCACCCAGATGGGAGACCCAAATGGAGTTCCAGGCTCCTGGCTTTGGCCTAACCCAGCCCTGGCTGTTGTGACCATTTGGGGAATGAACAAGCAGATGGTAGATCTGCGTTCTCGCGCTCTTTCTCTTAAAAAAAAAAAAAAGTAGATGGAAGATCTCTCTCTATGTAACTCAAATAAATAAATATAGCTTATTACTTTAAAAACAACTTTATTTTAAGTTTATTTACTTGAAAGAATTACAGAGAGCCAGAGACAGAGAGGGAGAGAGGTCTTCCGTCTGCTGGTTCACTCCCCAAATGGCCACAATGGCCAGAGCTGAGCTGATCCAAAACCAGGAGCCAGGAGCTTCTTCTGGGTCTCCCATGCAGGTGCAGGGGCCCAAGGACTTGGGCCATCTTCTACTGCTTTCCCAGGCCATAGCAGAGAGCCAGATCGGAAGTGGAGCAGCCGGGGCTCAAACCAGTGCTCATATGGGATGCTGGTACTGCAGGCGGCAGCTTTACCCACTACGCCACTGTGCTGGCCCCCTAAACTTATTCTTAACAATGCATTGAATATAGGCACAAAACAATGGCCTAACAATGACTTCATTTGTCAGGAAAAATAATGCATAGAGGAGTAAAGGAGCTTGCCTGAAGTCACACAGCAAACTGTGCTGCTGGACACATGTTCTGGGCTGTCAGAATTCAAAATCTGGGGCCAGTGCTGTGGTGTAGCAGGAAAAGCCACCACGCAGTGCCAGTATCCCATATAGACACTGGTTCATGTCCTGGCTGCTCCACTTCCAATCCAGTTCTGTGCCATGGCCTGGGAAAGCAGTAGAAGATGGCCCGAGTCCTTGGGCCCCTGCACCCATGTGGGAGACCTGGAAGAGGCTCTAGGCTCCTGGCTTCGGATCAGCTCAGCTCTGACCATTGCAGACATTTGGGGAGTGAATCAATCTCTCTCTCTCTCTCTCTCTCTCTCTCTGCCTCTGCCTCTCTGTAACTCTTTCAAATAAATAAATAAATAAATATTTTAAATAAATAACTAAAGAAAATAATTCAAAACTTATACCCTTCCCATTATACCAGAACATAGAAAATACATAAGCCCCCAAACTCACCTCTGCTGTGACCTTTACTCAATGCTATTTCCTTGAATTAAAAACAACAACAAGAGGACAGACAGGGGTTAGACCAGGGCAGCACAGCCAGTGAGGTGGGCGGGATCAGCCCTGGCGCTCTGGAGCCCAGGAGGGCAGTCACAGTCCACAGTAATTTGTACTACTTCTCAGAACTGGAGGAGAATGAAGGCTTCCAACACATACAGATGATGAACGTTTGAGCAGATGGAAATTCAGATTAGCCCAATTTGATCATTACACATTGTACACATGTATTGAATTATCCTTCTGTACACCATAAATAATACAAATATGTATGGGTCAATAAGAAAAAACCTCCTGTGATTTGAGCACTTGGCACTTTATGACACATGATCATTTATACTTATAACAGCTCCACAGGTAGGTACCATCCTTATTAACCACATGTTATAGATGAGGAAGCTGACGTTCAGAGAGGTTAAGTAACATTCCTGAGGTGGCAGAGTAAGGATTTAAACCCATATAATTGACCAATGCCCAAGTCCATGCTTTGTTTTTTTAAAAAGATTTATTTGGCAAAGTTACAGAGAGAGGGAAACAGATAGGAAAAAAAAACCCTTTCACCGGCGCCGTGGCTCAATAGGCTAATCCTCTGCCTTGCGGCGTCGGCACACCAGGTTCTAGTCCCGGTCGGGGCGCTGGATTCTGTCCCGGTTGCCCCTCTTCCAGGCCGGCTCTCTGCTGTGGCCCGGGAGTGCAGTGGAGGATGGCCCAAGTGCTTGGGCCCTGCACCCCATGGGAGACCAGGAGAAGCACCTGGCTCCTGCCTTCGGATCAGTGCGATGTGCTGGCCGCAGCGCGCCGGCCGCGGCGGCCATTGGAGGGTGAACCAAGGGCAAAAAGGAAGACCTTTCTCTCTGTCTCTGTCTCTGTCTCTGTCTCTCTCTCTCTCACTGTCAACTCTGCCTGTCAAAAAAAAAAAAAAAAAAACAAACTTTCATTTGCTGGTTCACTCTCCAAATGCCTGTAAGAGCTAAGGCTGGACCAGGCTGAAGCCAGGAGCCAGAAGCTTCATCCTGGTCTCCTATCTGGGTGGTAACACCCGCACTATTTGTTGCTGCTTGCCCCTGGCACATTAGCAGGGAGCTGGATCGGAAGTGGAGCAGCCAGGACTCGAACAAGCGCCCATATGGGATGCTGGTGTCACAGACAGTGGCTTAACCCGGTATACCATGAGTCCAGTCCTCCAAGTCCACACTTTTAAAAACTATTTATTTTATTTATTTGAAAGGCAGGGTGACAGAAAGGCAGAGATAGGGAGAGAAACAGAGGGAGAAAGAAATCTTCCATCCACTGGGTCACTCTCCAAATGCCTGCAACATCTGGGGCTGGTCCAGGCCAAAGGCAGGAGCTGGGAGCTCCATGCAGATGCCCCATGAGGGTGGCAGGGACCCAGAAACTTCACCATCATCTGCTGCCTTCCAGGCACATCAGTAGGAAACTGGATGGGAAGTGGAGTGGCTGGGACTTGATCCCAGGCACACCGAAATGGGGTGCAGGCATCCCAAGTGACAGCTTAACCTGCTGTGCCACAATGCCCACGTCAGTCCCATAATTTTTTATTATTATTAAAGATTTATTTATTTATTTGAAGAGTTACAGAGAGGCAGAGGCAGAGAGAGGAGAGCTCTTCCATCTGCTGATTCACTCCCCAGATGGCTGCAACGGCTGAAGCCAGGAACCAGGAGCTTCGTCTGGGACCCCACCAAGGACTTGGGCCATCTTCCACTGCTTTCCCAGGACATAGCACAGAGCTGGATTGGAAGTGGAGCAGCCAGGGCTTGAACCAGTGCCCATATGAGATGCTGGCACTGCAGGCGGCGGTTTTACCGACTCACCACAGTGCCGGTCCCCAATCCCATACTTTTAACAGCCACTCCAGATGGCTTCATGTATCCTCAAAGATGAACCCACGGGTTGGCATTGTGGCATAGAGAGTTAAGCTGCCCATGTCCCATATCAGAATATGTGGGATTGAGTCCTGCCTCCATTTCTGATCCAGCTTTTTGCTAATGTACAGCCTGGGAGGCAGCAGATGATGGCCCAAGCACTTGGGGCCCTGCCACCCACATGGGAGATCTGGACTAGGGTTCCTGGCTCCTGGTTTGGCCTGGCCAGGGTTAAGTGGCTTCTTCTCCAATCTACAGTTAGTACTAAGGTCCAAGAGGTGAGGTGATGGGGTTAAGGGCAGCGAGAGCTTACGTGCACCTCTAAGCCTCTTGGAATTTCACATCCCATCACCTAAAAGCCCCAACCCATCCTCTCATGCCAGTCCCAGTCTAGGGCACTCCAGGGGACACAGGGACACTGTTTCCAGCATGTGTAAGGCCACCACAAAACACGCAAACACTGGAGTTAGAGGAAAAGGTTTATTGTCGGGTGGGGGAAGCCCGATGGCCTGGGAGGAGAGGGCGAGAGGGTTAAGAGAAGAGGAGAGTGTAAGAGAGAGAGAGATCAATGGCCGGCGCTGAGGCTCAATAGGCTAGTCCTCTGCCTGCGGTGCTGGCACACCAGGTTCTAGTCCCGGTCGGGGCGCCGGATTCTGTCCTGGTTGCCCCTCTTCCAATCCAGCTCTCTGCTGTAGCCCGGGAAGGCAGTGGAGGATGGCCCAAGTGCTTGGGCCCTGCACCCCATGGGAGACCAGGAGAAGCACCTGGCTCCTGGCTTCGGATCAGCCACAATGCGCTGGCCCCAGCAGCCATCGGGGGGTGAACCAACAGAAAAAGGAAGACCTTTCTCTGTCTCTCTTACTGTCCACTCTGCCTGTCAAAAAAAAAAAAAAAAGAGGGAGAGAGATCAAGAGAGAGCACGTGTTCAGAACAGGTCCTGTTAAACCTCTGTGGGGGGGGAGGGGCAGGGAAGTTGGAGCAGCGAATCCCTTTAGGGTGGGGGTGGAGCTGACACCAGTGGTTCGGCCATGGGACATAGGACCGAAGCCTACTGTGCAAGGTGGCGAAGGGGGTTGGGGGTGAGCAGGGCCTAAGTTGGCGTCGGGGGCATAGATGGCGCCACAGATAAGGCTGCGCCATTTACTAACAGCATGGGCACCCCCTCCCTTGCTCTTCAGGGCCGAGGCTCCCAGGCAGGCGGCATGCAGTGTGTGGCAGCTTGGCGCCCACACTTCATAGCTCCTGGGTTTACCTTGGAGAGGAGGAGAGAAGCAGTCTTCCCGCCTGGGGCCTGTGGAGAGATGGCAGCCCGCGGAAACAGCTCTCAGGCTGAAGGCTGGCTTTTTATAGTCCCATTTGGATCCCCTCCACCCGCCCCAGGCAGCCAATCCCGGCCAGCGCTTCCATTTCCTGCGCTCCGCAGCCTGTTGGGTTCGCCTCTCCTCCAGCTTGGCTCCCTGGCGGCAGCGTCTGTGCTCTGCCTGCTGGCAGGAAAGTGTCCTCCAGGCCGGTGCCTCCCGCGACAGCGAGGTGAAAGCAGCCCCCAGGGGGCTCGGAGAAGCCGGCCACCCGCTTCCCTTGGGGGATGGGGCGGATTTCTCATAATTCAGCCCCGTTAGCTGCAAAGCCTGGCATTCACTGAGCACTAGCTGTGTGCCAGGCCTGCCTATGGCCCCCATGAACACCATCATTCTCCCACCCCAGGCTCTGACGTGGCCTGGCCTGTCTATAGTCCCGTTTGCATGTGTTCTCAGTCTGGCTGCCGCTGGGTGAGCCGCTGGGTGACAGGTGCGCCGATCAGGGAAGGCCGTGGTCCTATGTCCTCTGCTTTACAGTGAGACCCCAGCCCTAGGCAATGGAGCACGCACTCTCCAAAGCCTCTGGATGCTGCCGCTGGCAGAAGCACTGTGGGTGAGAAAGGCAACCTGTGTTTGGAGAACAGAGCACGTCCACCAAGCAGGAATCATGGCCTTCTCCGTGGGTGAAGGGGTCTGATGTGGCCGACCCGCTGCCTGCTGCTGGCAGGTGGTGATTTGTTGACAACTGTGAGATCCTCCTTGGGGAGAAGCAGTCCAAACTGTTCGACCCTATCCTTACCACCATGGACACCTGGGAAATCTCTGGGGCAAACTCCAGAGGCTGCCTGACCCCCTGGGCGGGGCCCCACCTGGAGCTTCCTCTGCAGGTGCTCACTGGCAGAGGGAGACACAGGGATCCACATGCTTGTGGCTACTCCCTGAAGTCCATCTGCTGCCCCTAACTCAGACCTGCTTCTCCCCCACCTGCCAATCTTGCTCTTTCCGTGCCCTTGACCACCTAGCTGAGCCATCTGCCACTTGTTGGGAATGGGCGTTTGCGCCTCACTCCACCCTCTCTCCACACAAAGGGGCTGACGAAGTGTCCTGTTCTTAGCTCTGTCCCCGCAGGACTCGCCACCGTCCTGGGCTCTAGTAGAGTGCTCGGTGTCCAGCTGGTGCCCGTAATTACACCGACTACCTGTGAATCGGTTCAACTCCTGCCATCCTGTATTGGTTAGGTGAGGGGACCCCTCCCAGGCCACAGTGTGGGTGTCAGATCAACAGTGCCAGGCGCCGTGGGATGTGGGCTGCTGGTCATTTCGTTGGCTCTTGCCTTTCGGACTCCTCTGGCCCCTGCATGCCTGTACCACGTGTGTCACATATGGACTCACAGCTCTGCTTGTCTGATGAGCTCTAGCTTAGCACCTGCAGCCTGGGTGGGTGTTTGGCCTAGCGATTAGATGTCAGTGAAGGCGTTCACAACCCACATCAGAGTACCCGGCTTGGATGCCCTGCTCCGGCTCCTTACTCCAGATGTCTGCTAATGTGGGCCTGTGAGGGCAGAGCTGGGTCCCTGATACCCATGTGCAAGAACTGGATTGAGTTATTGGCTTCTGGCGTCAGCCCCAGCCTAGTCCCAGTCATTGTAGGCACTTGTGGAGTGAACAAGTAGTTGGGCGTTCTCTCTCTCTCTCTCTCTATCTCTCTCTCCCTCTCTCCCTCTGGCTCACTGCCTCTCAGAAACAGGAAAGCAACAGCAACCAAAGACACATATCATCCAGTGGTCAGAGGCCCAGGTGCTTCTGGGGCCCAGCCACGCACCAGGACCCTTTTTCCCCAAATGCACTGCAGTAAGCATGGCCCAACCCTGGAATTCTGGGAGTTCTCGTATTTGGGCTCTGAGACTCCCTGCAGAATCTTCATCCACCAGTTACCCCTGGCAACACCGTGCCTACAGGCTCATGCCATCTGGAGCGGCAGGGTGGCTTGTATGCCCCTTGTCTTGCTTCCTGGCTACCCAGTGAAGGGTTGGAGAAGTTCTGTGTGTGTCCACCTTCTGCTTCCAAGACGCAAGGAGACGTGCAAGTCACTGTGGTTCTTTCCATGTGTAGAATACGAGAGGGGAGATGACTTGTGCTTGGCATGCCCAAGCCACTGAGCTCCTGAAAGTGCTACCGATGTGGCAGGACCGCGAATCCTCACGTAACTGATCTTCCGCTCCCTGGCAGACATGGTACTCACCACTTCCCATTCATGTACAGGAAGCGTGACGTCATCAACATAGTGGACCAGCATGGTGTCCTGTGGGATGCAATGGGATTGAGGTCCCAGGAGATTACATTTTGACAGTGAACTAGGTTAAAAAAAAAAGCTCCAAGGGGATGGAGTGAAGATGCTATTATGTTTATGTAGTATGGTGATGATTTTATAATATTCAGCTTTAGACAAGTACATGGGGGTGGGTGTTTGACCTAGTGGTCTGAGTGCCTTTGTTTGGTACTTGGCTCGGGCTCCTGACTCCAGCTTCCTGCTATTGCAGAGTCTGGGAGGCAGCAGTGATGAAAAAGCAGACTTGCTGTGCTCCTCTCCAGGGTGTTGAAAGGCAAGCATTCGCCAGCTCAGTGCCCGTGCGCAGCGTAGAGGCTGCACTGGCGGGCTCCAGGAAAGA